TTTTTCACATGAGCCTGTTGAAAAAGGATCCTGGCCCGTCTCCCTGGAGACCAGCAATTACTCCTCCTCCACCGGTCATTTTGGAAGGGGATGAACATTTTGAGATCGCTGATATCCTTGATTGTAAAGTGAAACGTGGTAAACTCTGGTACCTTATCGAATGGGTTGATTTCGGTCCCCAGCACCGCGAATGGGTTGTTACTCCTCCTCCACCTGTCGTTTTGGAAGGGGATGAACATTTTGAGATCGCTGATATCCTTGATTGTAAAGTGAAACGTGGTAAACTCTGGTACCTTATCGAATGGGTTGATTTCGGTCCCCAGCACCGCGAATGGGTGGAAGAAGGGGATATTCGGGCCCCTTACCTGATCCGTAGTTTCCACAAAAGGTTCCCGGACAAACCGGGAGGTCTCCCGCCCAGCCCGGGAGATCTCCCGCCCAGCCCGGGAGGTGTGTTGTAAGTGTATTTTAAGGGGGGCAGTATGTCAGCAAGCTGCCATTCTGTTTTCTGTGACCTCTGTGTACATACCCTTCCCTGTTGCACCCGGCTTAGTTTCTATCATCCTGCTCCTGCGTTGGAATGCAAAAGATAACTGCTGGAGGTTGTGTGGGGGAGAAGATGCTGTAATGCTTGGCTATTGCTTTTCCCATGAGTACTGCACCTGTGTTTTGACTAATGCTCTGCCTGGTTCCCATAGACTGGGCGCGCAACTGTTTCTTTAGCCCGCCAGCGGGAAAGCTATTCATTGGACCTGTATCTATTTGAAGTCCCTTTATTATGCTTGCCCTAACTGTGTATCCCCAGTTCTAACAAAGAACGTGTTTGAGTATGTCTTCAACGCTTTGAAATAAATTTTGCTTTTCTTGAAAACGTGGATTTATTCTCGATGCTTGGGGATCCAACAGTATAAGGAGTGTTTGGCTGAATTGTATCTGTCTGTTTTATGGCTTTGGTGGTGATTTGATGGGTCTTTGACTGTATTAAACATTTGAATGATTGCCTGAATGACTGAATGAATGAATGATTGCCAGTATCTCTTTTTTTTCCCTGATTCTTTAGATGTATTCCAAAATTGATGAAGGGAGACCAGACTTGTACAAACTTCTACATTTTTAAAACAATTTATCTTGCTAAAACTGCAAGATTAATTTTTAAAAAATTACATAAGGGTATTGGTACCATTAATGCAATATAAAGAAATATAGGATGTTAGGAGACAAAACAAGCTAAATATTTAACAGAAGTTTGAGCCAGTTGGGAACCATGAAGAAGGTTACCATTGGACCCCCAAATGCAGCTGCCTTATCCGAAACATGAATGATGTTCAGTCTGTAGATTACCATTCCCATAACAAGTCCAAGATTCTAAAATACTATCAGTTAGTGTCAGGGGTTGTCCAGCCTGTTACCAGAATGCAATGAATGAAACACTGAGGTTCTTACAGGAGAGGATTATATTGGCTGTCCAAGACAAGATTCAGATGTGCCAGTGAGGGGGCGGAGGGGGGGCTGCCTGTTTGCTTCCCTGTAACAAATTTTACTTTACCCATGACCTGATCTGTTGGGAGACGTGACTTATATCTCTACTGTCAGAACCATTTGCTCAAGAGGACATTCCTTCGTTATTAACAGGCCACCACCAAGTTAAGCAAGGGACCTGTGAAGTGGTTGCAGTGCATCTGTGTTGCAACAAGAACAGGATTGAAGAGCTGTCTCAGACAGGCAACTGTTCTTGCCTCCCAGGGCAAGTTGCGGGTACAACACGAACTCAGCCCTCCTGTGTGGAAGGTAAGTGCCTTCCACCTCATTTGTCATGCAGACATCATAATTAGAGAAATCTCCTTGTCTCCTTGATTTTGAATGCCTGCTGTCTGAAAAAAGTCTAATCCACTTGTTAAGTTTGGACACATTTCTCTTTGTTAATGATAATGAGTATGTGCCTCAATCACGGTGTAATTAATCTCCTTAATTTATGTAGCCGTCCATTCCAAGCTTGTGCCAAGAATACTTCTTACTACTTTCCCCCCCTTTTTTAGCCCAGAACAGTCTGTAGCTAACCTGAAACTAGAACAATGGAAACTGCATTAGGACTTCTTTGCTAGCCCAATCTACACAGGTGGCATACTAGTCAAGGGATGTTTGCTAAACACAAACCCCAGCCAAACAAGGTTCTCTGCTGTTGTTTAGTTATCAGTGAGTCCCATATTTCCCTTATGCTCAGATCATGGTTGTTTCCCTTTGTCATATCACTTGGAGTAATTTGTCCCACTAACTGTTAATTTTCACATCAAAGAATACACAGATTGTGGGTGATTCCGCACTAGACCTTAAATCCTGGTTCAACCCTGTCCCCGAACTTGCATTCTACACTACACTCAAGTTCACCCCTGTAATTATCTTGGGGTATTTTTTGTTTCCATGTTACATCGAGGTCACCCCGGTTTCACCCCACACTTGTCCCAGGATAAACGGATGCTATTATAACCAGGGATAAATGCAAGATATTGTGTCGCGAATTGAACTCTGATAAAACCAAGGATGAGATCCAAGTGCAGAAAGGGGACACTGTGTCTCCAGTTCCCACCCTGTGTCCCGTTTAACAATCGGATGTGAGTTACAAATTCTCTTGTTTCTGTGCACGTTACCTAATTCAGATTGCGATAGTGGTACATGTGGCGAATGCATGTACCACTTTCCTGACCTGAAGTGGTTGAAGGCAAGGGTGCTCCAAAGATTTAGGATTACCAACACCAGCCTGGAGAAAATGGTGGACACTGTGTCATTATACCCTGCTGAGGTGGTGCAGCTTTTGCCAGACCCAGGTTCTTGCTGTGGAAGCTGCTTGAGTGATATCAAACCACTCACAGACTTTCAGACTAGCTTACCTCACAGGGTGGTTGTACAGATCAAAAGGGTGAGAGGAGAATGATGTGAGCTGCTTTGGTCCCCACTCTGGAGAAAGACTGTACTTTTCCTAAGTAGAGGCTAGAGGGAGTGGGGAGGAGTTGGAAACCTGAGGTCAGAGGGGCAGATAATGATAGGTTGATGGTTTGCTGGGAAGGAGATAAGGTTGCCAACTCCAGGTTGGGAAATTCCTGGAGATTTGAGGGGTGGAGCCTGGAGAGGTTGGGGTTGGAGGAGGGGTGGTATCTCAGACAGGTCCATAGACTCCCCCCTCCAAACCAGCCATTTCCTCCTGGGGAATCATTGTTGCCAATCTCCAACTAAGAAGAAAATAAGAAGCTATACTGTTTTAAAAAAGAAACTAAGCTGGATCTAGAGGTTGACACCTTCCAACTTTATAAGACTACTCTTGAGGAAGATTGCTGAAATGAGTGCAAAAACTGGTGTGCTCATCGAGGATATGATTATGTTGGACTTTTCTTTGCTTATGTCAGAATTCTCTAACTATATTGTAAGATTAATAGCTTCACAAATTGATGCTCACAGGATTATTAAATGTGTCATTGCCAATTTTATCCCAGTGGTTTTTTGTTTGTTGGCATGTATCTGCAGACTGTGACCCCTTCTCTGGGTTTTTTTTACAATCTCCAAGTAAGGGCTGGCGATCACTCAGAATTACAACTGCTCTTCAGATGGCAGAGATCAGTTCCCCTGGAGAAAACAGTGGACTCTGTGTCATTATACCCTGCGGAGGTCACATAGCAAATTGACATTGAAAGCTCGTTGTGTTTATTTCCACAATGGGCTTTATTTCTATTAATATATAAAAGCCAAGCCATGCTGGCAGCGACTCACCTACTCTCCCATTGGCCACAGGGGAAGCTGCCTTGGTGCCTACTGGCCCATCCCATCGGCTGCTCCATCCTTATACCCCCACTTTTGACACATTGCACCTTAGGAGTTGTAGTTCTCAGCTGGCCTTACTGCAGCCATAGCAAAGGGAATTAGAACTACAGCTCCCAAGTCTGGAGTCCCAAGAGGCTGTGAGGTATTAACAAGGAGTCAGTTGAAGTGTTAATCAGTTAAACTGTTAAACAGGAATGAGGGGGGAAGGGAAGGTAAATATCCTAGTGATGGACTCATACATAGTAATCAGACAAAAAAACCCTCATGGTCTTTTGTCTATTGTGACTGAACAGTGCTACTGCCAGTTTCATGTAGTGGTTAAGAGTGTGGACTCTAATCTAGGAGAACTGGGTTTGATTCCCCCTCCCGCACATGCAACTGTAGCCCTTAAGATTATGTTTACATGGAAATGCTGTTTGAAGAAAGTGTAGTGGTGAGCAGGATTTCAGTGAGTAAGAGAAGTCACTTCAGTGCCTTGAATCAGTTTTTGTCCCACGTACCCTCTCCGCCCCTCCATGCCTAGATGAAGTACAATAAATTATGCAGAGTAAGCAATCTGTATGCAAGATATAGGGTTGCCTACCTCCCAGTAGTGGCTGGAGATCTCCTAGGATTACAATTTACCTCCAGGTAACAGAGATCAGTTCATCTGGAGAAAATGGCTGCTTTGGAATGTGGACTCTTTGGCATTCTACTTCATGGAAGTCCCTCCCCTTCCCAAATACTGCCTTCCTCAGGCTCCACCCCCAAAATCTCTAGGTATTTCTCAGCTGGCAACTCTATTTGTGTAATTTATATATCCTTCCAAGTTTTATTGCTTCAGAAGTTTGGTTAGTTTGGTACTTTTTTCCCTTTGTAGCACAGAATGCATACAACCTTGATTAAAACTGCTAGTTATAACCATGGTGATGTCTGGTTAGGTTAGGGTTGCCAGCCCCCACGTCCCAGCAAGAGTTCCCCCACTTTTGGGGGCTCCAATCTGCTGCTGGCCAGTGGGGGAAACCCTACCTCCAAACAAGGAGGACATCATCATGCAACGTCCCTGGTGCAATGTCATCACATTGGCGACCTCATGCAGTGGCACTCTGGTTTTTGGGCAAACTCTATGGTTTTGAAGCAAAAAAACCACAGAGTCCTTGCCCAAAAAAACAGAGCATCATGTGAGACATCCTGCCCACCCCCAGAATGCCCCCCAAATCTTCCTGTCATGACAGCGAGGGGAGCTGGCAAACCTAGGTCAGGTAAACGTTCCACTGTTACGTTGAATATTATTAGAATTACTGCAGTGGTTGCTTAAATACTGCCTTTGACAAAAGTGTTACATCTTACTCTGCCTTGGTTTAAAACATATTACTAATGGTTGAAATTTAGATTGCTGAAAGGATTTGGGAAATTGCCCAATAATTCACCTCCCCATCAACAGTTACAGAGCGGCATATTTCCCCAGTTTTACTGGATACAGTTATGTTAGCAAATGGCATCTGTAAGTCTTAATTAATGTTTCTGACAGTACAGAAGGAAAGAACCTTAAGACATAGAATGTGGTGTGATTTCTGTTTAAATAGCAGCAAAAGCAGTACAATATTTTAATAGCTTGCTGCTAATTAATATTGACATAGAAATCATATTTGTTAATCCTCATGGAAGATACTTATCTTCTATTTTCATTGCTTTGCACACAAAATCATGACCTTTACAAGTGAAATAACAAAGAGCCTCAGGTTTTCCTAACTTTCCCTGATGTTTTAATTTATGAATTAACCCATAAATACACGAAAGTTTGCAACATGCATTTCCCCTTACACCCACTTTTTGTGTATGTCAAAAAGTCAACTTGAGACTCCTGTGTTTTTTCTGTCATGGCCAACTATAGGGATGAATTTGGAAGGGAAATTGAACAGACATTGCAGCCAATCTAGATGTAAGGTGGAAGCATCTTTGCATTGGGGGAGGGGGATTAGATAGGGTGCCAACTTCCAGGGGGTGACTGGAAATATCCTGCTATTACAATTGATCTCCAGATGACCAAGATCAGTTCCTTGGAGAAAATGGCTCCTTTGGAGGGTGGCTTCTATGGCATTATACTTTGCTGAGGTCCCTTGACCCCCCAAGCCCTACTGTCCCCAGGATCCACCCCCCCAAATCTCCAGGTGTTTCCCAACTCAGAGCTGCCAACTCTTGATGTAGATGGGTATAGGCTTGCTGACTTTTTGCTAACCACTCACATGACAGGATATTGTGGTGTCACAGTGTGCTGTGAAAGGGCCTTGCTACCAGTAGCTAATCTACTGCTGTGTTAAGATCTCCAGCTGAACATGGCTTTTGCAGTGTGTGTCTACATACAAATTGGGATTGGTGCCATTTTTGCTAAGCAGCTCTTTCTTGAAGAGTATCGTGTGCATATTGTTGTCTTGAGAGACATAATGGTAAAGCATAATCTAGCTTCACTCATTATGCGGATTGTAAATACTGACCAATGGTGTGCATTCTGGAGGGAATGGTTTGGATTGGACATTAACTCTTGATTGTGATTAGATGTAATGTAGCTAATGTGATTGGATGATGTAAACATTGTAGGTGTGGCTATCTCAGCCAGAATTGTATACAAGTTGCCATTTTTGCCTATGGAATTTGTCTAGCTGGTCTAGTCCTTACAAGGCTGAGCCTTTATGCTGTTCTCACTGAATAAAGCTGAAATCACTTGTTGAACTGTTCCTCCAAGTTAAGTGTCATACTTAACACATATGTGCCTTCAGGTTGTAGCTGACTTATGGTGACCCCAGCAAGGGGCTTTCAAGGCAGAGGTGGATTGCCATTGTCTTCCTCTGCAGAGTCTTCCTTGGTAGTCTCCCATCCAAGTACAGACCCTGCTTAGCTTCTGAGATCTGATGAGATCAGGCTATACCATTCTGCCTTCCCTCCCTGGAAGTATATTGGATGGGACAAAACTTTTTTTATGAGTTGCCAGAGTGGTAGAT